TAATAATAATAATAATAATAATAATAATAATAATAATAATAATAATAATAATAATAATAACAATAGTATTAATAATATTTCTCATGCGTACACACATATAAATAATAATGAAAAAAGCGTTTGTTTAAAAATATCGCACACCTAAACACAAAAACTAACAAGAATTACATTCAGCTTTAGCTGTCTGCCACGCATGCACAATACCTTTATGTTCGATGAAAATATTAAATGTTTCACTTTTCTTTTATTCTATTTCCATTATTATGTGTATTATTATGTACTCTATTACGTTTTCTCAATACATAATAGGAATTCTATAAACAAAATATATTATTTCAATTGAAATCGCATGCATTCTATTTACACATCAAATTACGCTTTTTTTTTTTTATATATTTATACATATAAATAAACGTTATAGTAGAAAATATTATATTTCAAAAGTTGAAATTAACAAAAAATAAATTTAGAGTGAAGTTCAAAATGTATTGTTAAATTTAAATTGGTATCTAATTTATTTTTCAACTATCTATTAAACTATTTTTGAAAATAAACGTAAATGTATGCCGCTAGTTCATGATAACTTACACTTGTGATATTTTATTGACGCGATTCTTGTTATTGCATTTTCGACAAATCACTTAAAAAATGTAAACTAAAATTTCAACAGTAGAATATTATTATTATGCCGATATCTAGAACAATATTGAAATTTCAAAGAAACTTACATCGCACTCAATATCGTTTTTAACACATACTCGGTAGGTACGTTAAATTTTTCCATTCCTCGGACTGTCTTCGGTACTCATTGAGATTTAACACGACAACCAACTAATTTATCATTGTATTGTATACCCATATCGTTCGCTCTATTCTTTTATTTTTGGTCTTTGTGCATTTAATTGTATAAATTGAAAATAGATATCATAAATTAAGTTTTAATTTATCAAATTCAATACGAAATATATTTCTACTGGATAATTTTTATAAATGTGAAGTTCACACGTGGTATGATGGTACATATTCATCTATTATCAACAGTTAAATGGATATCCAGTATTTGTTGATGATACAGATAGTGTAATTAATAAACTTTCAAATATTAAACAAAAATAATTCAAGTAAAACCACGTAATTATGCTATAAATTAAAAAAAACAATCTATTCACACAGTGCGTCCATAAGTCATAAATTTACGAGTATTATGAAGGTCATAAAAATCCATTAATTGTTGCATGTGTTATCATAAAACACATAATGTGATACTATAAGAAAATTATTAATTTTCCAACGGCAACATTCAAATAAATCTTTTTTGCCTATTTCACTAAAGTTTGAAATTATAAATTTATTATAGTTGAAAAGGAATTGTTTGACGTTACGGATACAATAATGTATTGTTCTTATTCAGAGGTGTTAATATGTATATACATAGATGATGTTTTCCCGTAAACTGAGCTACCGCTCCTGTCGATCATAATTTATTCCGGTTACCGCGAATTCCTCAGACTTCCGTAATCCGTCTGCTGAGTTAGTGATGACTCGACGGAAATTATTCTTTCGTTAAATACATCATTGTTAAACGCAATAAGTAGAAGTGAACTACACTACTAAATATTAACAATAGAAAAGTTTAACAAAATATCATCATTGTAAAAATTCAACTAACTAATAACATTGTATATACATTTTCGTAATAATACCATTGTATGAATCATGCAAAACAAATATTCTATCTATTACTCTTATAACAAACCTCTAACGAAGCCTTTAACGCGTCTTGTATTTTGATTGGAAAAAAAACTTTTTCCTTTTGTGTACATGAACAAAATAAATTCCCGTTTTTAAATCTCTTAAAATATTAAAAAAGAATAATCGCATTTATATTGTTTCTTTTGTATACTTTTCATGATCGAAAAGAAATTACTAATCCAAAATACACGGTTTGCTATCCTTTATTCTTTTTTTTTTTTAAAGCTGTTTCAAAATATACAAACATTAAATTTAATTTTTTTCTAAATGTTTTCTAGTTTTTACCAATATTCTCTTTAAGCTTCTTTGTCGTCTACACTATGTAAGTATTATTTTAGTCGTACTATTGGACATTTTAAATTAAAGTCTTAACTTATTTAAATTAATGGAATATAAGAAATAATTATATCTTTTGAACAATTAAATAATTAATTAATAATTAATTAATTGTTTAAATTTCTTACAACATTCACAAAATGATTTTTATTAATGGATAGAACGCAACCAACAAGTATTTGTGCTCTTTAAAATAAACGACTATGATAGAACTTTAAACTTCTTTATACTATGTATAAATGCTATCATGATGGCATTGAAGTGGTCATGAGTACATTTACAAGTAAACCTACATTATTGTTCAAATGCACAAAATCGAATTCATTAAATAAATAATACGTAATATAATGGTCTCAAAATTTGTTTCAGTGTTTTTCTTGGGTAAAATTCAAGATTTATTCGTACCAAATTGAATGTATAAGTTCAATGGTGGTATCAACTGGGGAGCGAAAAATAAATTAAATAGTTGAAATTTAAATTAAAAAATTGAAAGTTTTTTATATATACATTTTTTTATTGCTTTTATCTTAACGATATTATAGCATGAAAATTATTAGGATTTGGATACGAAGAAAAAAAAAAGATATTACAAATAAAATAATAGTAATACTAATATAAATGATTAATGCTATACTAATTAGATAACAAAAATTCATGGTAAGTAAAGTTTTTTAAATGTGGAAACCAGCGTTGGAAATAAAATGGATGATGAGAGTGATGACGGAGAGAGATCGAGAATTGAGGAGAAGGATTGCATCAGGAAAGGCAGTGCATTTTTTAACTAATTAACTAGGCGACACAAATGTCACCCAGTGATTATACTCTGTCGACAATATTTTGAAAGATTGGGCGAAGTAATGCAAAACAAACGTATAATACTATAATTGTACTATGGTATTACACTGATTATTTTAAGAAAAATATTTTTTGTCGCCCAGTGAAAATTCCTTATAAAATGCATTGAGGAAAGATGTAACCTAAGGAAGAGAGCTGTGAGAGTAATGAATTACGGACATAAGTAAGAAACGGGCAAGAGAAGAGAATGTGATGATCATCACAAACAACTTCATGGTTGTGGATAATGCAAAGAGAAAAGGAGTTAAGTGAGAGGAGAAACTAATGAGAAGGGAGAAGATTATAACCAAAGCAAAGACGAGAAAAAGAGACGATTGTGGATCGGGGTAGGTCCAGATCGCGAAACCAAGGAGAGTTAAGTATACAAGCGGATATAGATCTGTGTCAAGTAGCAAAGTTAGGGGAAGGGAAGACCAATGGTCAGTCTATGCTTTTTTTAGAGTTTTTTAGAAATTTTTGGGAATTTATAAAAAAAATAAATTGAAGTGCATGAATGATGGTGTAGGTTTCGGCAGTAAATGAAGATACCGATGGGTGGAGATTAAAAGAGAACGATATATTAATAGGAGGTATGAAAAAAGAGAATCCTGAAGATAGGATAGATGCAGATTCGTCAGTAAATAAAAAAATTAAGTTTGGGAAATTGGAAGAAATGAAATCCGAGAAAAGGGAGTTAACAAGGATGTTAGAAAGTGAAGCTAGTGTTTTTGGAGTGTGACTGAAGAGATTGGGAGAAATAGTAATAGGTGGATTGAAAATTAACGCAGAAAAGGGTGTATCATAGATTTGCGAGTGAAAATGAAGATGGAAAGCTAAGCTTGAAAAGTGAGAAAGTGATGCAGTGACAGAAGCTAAAATGGGGAGAGATTTTGATACGTATTTCCATGGATTTTTAATTCTTGAAAAATCTGAAAATAGCGTAGAATTGGAATTGGATATATTTTTAAAAATAAATTTACCTATGAGTCGTCTACTGCGGAGTTCTATGGGAGGACACGAGCATTCCACCTTCATACTTGGAGATGGGGTAAATTGAATGGCCCCCATTATAGTGCGTAAGCAAGAGTTTAAGATCGAGTTAAGTTTTTTCTTGTGACAAAGGGAAGCTGATGAGAATAGGAAAGAACCATAGTCAGCTTTTGCTTTAATAACACTATTAAAATAAGGAGCAGTGCCGATGGGTGTTTCCGCTATCGTGTACCTGTGGAGGATCGAAGAAAGTTGGCCCATAAAGAAATTTGGCCAATCAAGTATCGGAAATGAGGGACCCATCGAAGTTTGGAATTGAGATGTAAACCAAGATATTTTACGGAGTTGACCAAGTGAATAGGTTGATTGTCAATAAAAACATTTGGGGTTGTTCAATATCTCTTACGATTAAAAATCATGTACCGGCTTTTTTCGGGAGCTATCAAAAAATGTGAATGAAGAATGGATGAAAAAAGTGAGATAAAAAAGAAAGATAGCTTCATTTAGAACAGAGATAGCTCGGTCAAGTTGTTTGTTGCAAGCGAAAAGGACAATGTCGTCGGCATAGATGTAGGAGTTAAAACCTTTGGAAGAGATGTACTGACTGATTGAATTCATATATACATTAAATAATATGGTGCTAAGGCAACTACCTTGAGGAAGTCCTCTGAAAACTTCGCAAAAATTTGTGGTACCGGAGGGGGAGGGGGAGGTAAAGAAACGGTGAGAAAAGAGAGATGAGATATAGTTGCAGAATGAGTATAGTATGGATAATTTTGAGAAACGGAAAATGAGGATTGGTATATGAACCGAACCAAATGCCCCATTAATATCGATAAAAGCTGAAGCGAGGTATTTTTTTTTTTCACAAAATGATTGATATATTTTACCTACAAAGGAAGAAAGACAGTCCATTGTGCGAGGCTTCTGCGGAATATATATATATATATTTTATAAATTAGCTATTACATTTATAATACCATCGTTATATTGATACGGTTGGTCCTTGATTTGTATACTACTTTAAAATGTTAACGATTTACTTTTTATCGCAACAAAGCGTCTTCGAGCCTTTGGCAAAAAAATTACTAACAAAGCACATTTGATATGTTAAGCTCAAAACAAGCAATTTCAAGCATATACACAAATGTATCGCGAGTCACTCAGGTGACTCAGGTGACTATTGTCGTATGTTCTTGAATCGAAACCTAGGGTAAACCAATTTTGTAAGACCTTAAACACAAAGCTTAAGCATTCGGCCATTGTCAAGTCAAGCAATCAAACCACACCCGCACACAACTAATGTACACAACTTGATTTACTCAGTTCGAGATCCACCGATGACAGTGAACGAACCCGCGGGTCGGAGCAATATGCCACTGTCTCGAATCAGGATCATTTCTTTTAAACTCTCGTCGCACAGCCGTCTTGAGGGAGCCAACTGACTTGATTCGTCCGGTGCGATCGCTCCATTTTGATCTTCATGATCAAAAGAGGTTAAGGATACATACAACATTAAACCGTTTGACCGGTCGAACGGAACAAGTCACGTATCGCAGCACTAAAGAACTTTTAGATTTGAAATAGTGTCGGCGACCGAGGAGGAAAGGTGGAGTCATTTATTACGTTGAACCCGGTCACGAACAGTTTTTCATTCCGACGACCATTTTAATGTTTTTCCGGTATCCCGAAACCGTGAACTTAATAACCTGAATTTCATCGTCCCCAATACGCGCACTCTTACGAAACACGGTCGAGTCGTAAGTGACGCACAAAAACCGAAGTAGCCATTCCCAAGTATAACACTTCATCGTAAAAGTATAAGATATTCGTTTTATCGTCTACACCGGACACGTTTTTTCACACGGAAATGTACATAAAAGGAATGTAAACGGAGACGAGAATGATATACTTAAACGTATAATAAGTTAAGTTTTAAAAGTTCGAATAGTATTCATTTTTTATATTGTTCATTATAACCGTTCAGCAAAGGAGTGAGTAAAAACTATTTGTGAACAAAATTTTTGAACACTTGTAATAAATACGTACGAAAATAGCGCATATAATCCGGATTTTTGCATCCTCTCATAATAAGCTTTATTTTCAGGCTATTTTTAATGGAGGAAAACAACGTCGACCTCGACGATTGTCACTTCTACTTTTAAAATTGATATCTATACGGGAAAGACAAATCGGCAGGAATAATACAGAATACTGTGTCTTAAGAAAAATCAATTTTAAAATAGAAATTTTGGCAATTGTTGCGCTACTACAGAAACTTTATTACTGAAGTTTCGATCGATTATCGATAAAACGGTTTTTTCGAAATTCTACATATTAATTAAAATTTTTTTTTTTTGTTTATTATTACAAATTCCTTTTCGTACGTACATTGTTAATTATTCAAGTCGCATGGATAATCGTTTCATCCGTTTTGGTGATTGAAATGTAATTTAATGTAAAAGAAGTATGTATAAATATTTACGTAAAAACATAATAACTATTATGTTTATTCGTGACGGTTAAATGTGTACGCGTTCGATGGAAATTTCGAATTAGTGATCAGTGTTGTCTTTAAAAATAAACGATCACATTTTTTTATACATTTATAATTACATGCATATAGATTTTCCAATTTTTATTTAAGGCATACGTGTGAGGTTTATAACATTTTGACCGAATAGCTAAAAATGTATTAATATTAAAGATCTATGAATGTAATTGAAAACAATGTACGCTGAGACGTTCACGATTTTGATTTTAACACAAGTCAAACGTCGGAATTATGCATCTATTCAGGTTAAATTCACTTTGGCGTAGAATACTTGGTAACGTGTACCGTGATTGAAAAATTGTTTATTTGCATGAGTTGTTTACACATATAGAGGAAGGATGGTGATGCGTGTCGTGTTAGGTGCGTTCGGACCAAAGGGTGGGTCATGTAATAAAATTAAAGCCAAATAAAATACATATAAAAATGAAGGAATAAAAATTAAGGGTAGTGATATTAACGGATAATGTTTATCGACAATAACAACAACGACAATCATTTTGTACGAAAGTAAAAGGTTGATTCAGATGGTATTTTTTTTTTACATATTTTATGGTTAAACAGTTTTAATTTCAATCATATTTTAACCATAACCAAACTGTATGTCTTGCATACGACCCGAATGTAATTTTATCTTGTGGGCGTAATCCGGCTGGGGGAAGAAAAGGGGTTCATGGAAAAATAGTAAGTACAAAAGATAGATGAAACGATTGTCATCGTTGTCATTGTCGTTGTTCGATTATTACTTGGGCTCGGTTGTTTATGAATTCACATATTTTCTTCTACTTATTGCGCGCTTTGATACAAATTCAATTCATATATACAATAAAATCAAATAATACTATTTTTCATATTTCTATATATTTTAAATTAATATTTTTGGGATTTTAAGAATATAAATGCGAATTCCAGTACATTTTTTAACTTTTTTAAAAACAATTATAGGATTAATTATGTTTGTCCCGAATAATTTTCAAATTCAAGTTTGATCAAATTAACAAAAACCATTTTATCACGATGAAACCCTCATATTATAAATCTGTATTTAATATTAAAAATAATGTAAAATATAAAAGAAACAACTGATGAAAATTAACTACTCATGAATTATGTTATTGAAAATAAACGGTATCCTATATTTTGATTTTTTTTTTTTTTTTGTTTACTTTACAAGTCCATATTTTATGTTCTGAAAGCATATTTGGTAGATTTTTAGTGCATAAATACGCACGTATCACAGTGTCTTGTTGTTGTAAATGCTCAAACATCCGAGCCCTAATCATTGCTATTTACGTAGGCGTACACGCACCTGGTCCAGCCGCGTCCGGATAAGGCGTGGTCGGATACTCGCGGTACTCGGCCATCTGCTCGGTCTGGCCGTCCATCGTGCCCTCGTCCACCCTGAGCCCGGTGCCTGGCCGCAGATTGTCCGCCCGCCGGCCATCCGGGTGCGGCACGTACTGATCGTGCTGCTCCGACCGGAATTCCAGGCCCTCCGGCGTCGCGGCGTCCGCGCACACGAACGGGCCGATGTGGCTGCCCTGCCGCGGGGCCACGTTCCGTTCCCTGGGCGTGTCCGTGTACCGTTCCGCGTTCTCGGTCGTGAACTCCCCTGGGCCGCTGCCCACCTGCAGCTCGTCCTTGGGCACGGCCGCGTGCCGTCTGTTCGTGCTCATCTCCTCCGCGGTCCGGTATGGCGGCGTGAACTGGCACCTATACTCGGTGTCCAACGGTGCCGGCGGTTCGGCCGATAGCCCGATCGGCGGTTCCTGCTGCGGTCGCGACCCTAACGCCGAGGTTCCGGTGGCGAACTCCTTCCGGCGGTACTTGTGCAACTGGTCGACCGTGACCAGCGGCTTGCGGTTGTACCAGTGCGATAGGCGTCCCGACCACTGTTGACGGTGGACGGACGCCGGGCGGTCCTGTTGCCGCTTGTTCCTACCGCTGCCGCCGCCCTTTCGGTACCTAGTTAGGGTTCGAATTATTTTTCCCATGAGAACGCAATGATTATGAATTCGTTCTATGAAACATAAGTGCTATTATATGTGGACTTTGTTTACATTTAAAAATTACACATTTGAATTGAAATACTGACAACATGAGACGGCATGGAATTTAGCTGAATGTGAACGTAAAACGTCGAATACGGCTGTATAAGATACGAATGGTTCAATTACGGACGACGCATTGTTTCATTTTCGATAACAAAACAAATGGAAATAATTTATAGCGTACTTATATTTCGTTTTTTTTTTTTCGTTACCCTAGAATTTTGACGGCCTCGTGTACCGTCTTCGAAATGCTAATCAATCGTTTTACACAACGGAATACGTACGGAGATTGAAGAAAATATTTTTAAAAAAATGTCTGTAAACATCGCAGAATTCTGTTATCCGTGCCTGCGCGTTCGACTGTGAAAATTCGTGGAGTTTTTAAAAAATGTTCTATAGTATATCATATTCGAACCCCTCTTTATACCGTTGCAACTCTGTAAAGCACGACCATTGTGTTATACATATTTATAATCTACACTGCAAATGTACCAAACATAATAACCGAAATTTAAAACTAAATCTATTCACACATTCCACAATCTGATGATTATAACACATCACCAGACGAACGATATTTCGTAGGCAATTCATTTCAACAGTTTAAATTATAAATAAATACTTGTCTTTTAAATTCTATCTGAAGTGATAAGGAATGTGTTGATTTCGTAATATTTTTTTATTTTAAGTAAACATTTTCGTTAGAGTTCCGCTCCAAGAGCATCATACATACAGTATCGGTGTTGAAAAAACACCACTCAAGTATCTCGTTTAGCTTTTTTGAAAATTCATAAATAAATGTCTATTACTTTTATAAAAAATTTCCAAGTATACCCGTGGGAAACTATCGATCAGTAGTGTATAACATCGTATTGTGGTACGATGTTTTTTTACAACACGAAACAAAACCAAACTCGTCAAGAAATCAATACATCTATTGCAAGGAGTTCGATGCTTAAGGATATTTTGATTTCAAATGATACATTATTTTTCTCCTTTTACCTTTTACTCAACAATTATAATTTCCTCAAAATTTTTTAATTTTGGTCCCAGTTAATTTTTTTATCGTAATTTATACAATAATTTCAATAGATCGCTTAAAACATTTTATTACTATTAAGATTCTAAGCTTTGAGCATCTATTTAGCATCTTTAAAAAAAAAAAAAAAAACAGGAATCAAGGGATTTCTTTCAATTTTCAGGATTTAAGTTTGGATATATGATCATTTTTTAAGCTTAAGTGCACTATTCGTCGATCCGAGTATAATATTATATTGCGCCATGAAATTAAGAATCGTCGAGAAAATCGATGGAAAACTATAACTGCACACAAATAATGATTTGTGAATAAAAACTGTTTTCTTTTAATTTCCATATAGATCCAAGTAAATTGAAAAATTTTTGAAATATTTTAGCCACACGAAAACAGTGAAAATAATATGTCAGCCATTTTTTGCTAATGACCGATATTTGCAGCGTTCAGAAACCCGACGAACGATTCCATTTGTTCACGGATTTTTGACACAGATCACCACGATGACTTGTATTTTACTTCTCTTCCTATAGAAATTTATTACAACAATACTGGTGATTTTGTGATATTTTAAAAGAAACTAAAACACGTCATTTTTTCGCCATTATTATACGAAATAGCAAAACTATTATATGGTATTTCGGATAAAAGAACTAAACTATAAAAAATAAGTCACTTCCTGACTATCGTCTTGAAGCATTTTTTATTCAATAGTGTAACTATAAAAAGTTTAAAATTTATTTTTATTATTTATCTTCACATATCTATACAGAGGTATAATATTTAATTTCAAATATTTTGAACATTTGTATTATTCTATAAAAAAATTTAAAAAACGTTTTTAGGTCCATAATCCATACAAAATTTTATAGTCTTAAAAAATATAAAAATAAATAAATTTTTACCATATTTTAATTCACAATGGAGTTGCCAGTTGGTTAAATTATCTTAATTTAAAAATAAAATTCAAATAATTATAATAACTTTAATATAGATTTTATTTAGTAGACAAAAAATATAAACAAAAACCCTAACCAATGGATTCAAAAATTATAGGTGACATGTTTTTATAAAAGATGCCAAAATATAAAATTTGGCATTTCTTATAAATTAAGCAATATTTGTTTTATAACACATTTAATATGTTTCATACATGCTCAAGATTTTTATTTATTCCATCATTATTGACCATTTAATATTTATGTAACAGATTTAGTTATGAAATGTCGTAATAAATGAAAATTTAAAGTGTCAAAACTTCTTTTTTACACATATATATGTATATTTATTTATTTGTTTATTTATATTTCAACATTATGGGCTGGACCCAGTTACAGAAATATAGACAATATTAATTAACTTACAATAACATAAATAACAAAATATAAGTATAGATGATGACTAATTATAATTTATAGAAATATTAATAACAAATAAATATACAATAAATATTAAAAAAATTATGGGTTACTATTTGCCATACGCATCATTCTAAAGAGTGGCTGGTTCCCAAAATAATTTAATATTTAACCTGTTTCAATTTGGAAGGGGTGAACATCTAAAGTTCCCTTTAGACACGTCTTTGATTATATTGACATTGGAGTTGTTACTTTTGATTGCACGTGGTAAAGAAGTTTTGGAAATAATTCAATATAAGAATTTAAGTATATATAATATTTATTATTACTTAGGCTTTTATTATTTTTTCTATTATATACTATGCCACAACAATTCACAGAAATCCCTAAATTTTATTTTTATTTTCAAGTTTAAATGATAATAGTCAAAACTCACTACACTGAAATAACTTGCAAGATATTACTTTTGACTTTCATGATATTATTATTTATTGAATACAACCTAAACATTTGAGAAAATTAAAAACAACGAAATAATAGTTAACCAACTTTTGTTATAAACCAGTCAATTATATAAAACAAATATTATTAAAAACTATATTGTCATCAGTAATTCATTAGTTCTAAGGCTATTGGATCAGAACTATAAGAGTTAATTGAATTAGACATTAGATGTATGTTGAATAAAAAAACAATAAAATAAAATATTCTATAGTTGATTAAATGATTTCGATTTATTTAATATAACAACATGAATATTGTATAATTTTGATATATAGTATACATAAATTATTTTAGCTCCTAAGTTCAAATCAAATAAACAATTTAAATAATTCATAAACTAAGTAGTGCATTTATAAGTAATAAATTCTGTATTATATCTCTCTCCTGCCATCGTTCTAGTTGCTCTACACTGCTCACCACTAAACCAACTCCACTGGGAATGAAGTCTGCACACATGACAATTCACTACTCAGAGAAGAGGTACAAGTGAAACTCCACTAACTATACACACCTAAGTCAAAAAGATATAGACAAAGACTTCTGGCGGTCCTTTTGATAGGAAAATTTAAAAAAATAAAGAAATAAACTAAGTACAAGTTGTTATTGGTTTAATACGTAAACACGATGTAATTAAAAATATTATGAAATTTATAGTAATTACTGATTTCTAAGTATAAGAATTTCTGAAAATAAGCAATAGCAAACTAGTTAATTAATAATGATGTATTGGACAGGATCCTTTTTTTTTTTTTGTATACAATTTTAATTTTATTTATATTTATATTTTTCGAAAAAAAAATAATTATATTCAACCGAAATTATGTCTTGCAAAGATTGCGTTTTTACGTAAAATAAATTTAAATGTAAACTTTTCCAATCTAAGTGATATTGTAAGTTATATTTTAAACAGCAATTCATATTCAGAAACAAATTAAATTTTTTAAACCTCTAATTCCACAAATATCGACGGTTGAATTTCATTGTTTATATACATTTAAGGTAATGATGATAAGATTTTAAAAACAGCATATTTATCTCTCTTCTTTTCCTTGCAATTTGGCTGCATTTAGAGTAAAACTATGGATAATTTAATTGCATAAATCAATAAATCACTTGAATAAAAAAATTGAACCTAGTAATTTTATTTTATTCAAATACAATTCCTTCATAAAAGTAATTAATTTTCTAAGACAAAACTTAACCAAAAAAATCAATGATTTTCATTATAAAATCTAACATGAATGATATGATTATGTTTTCTTTTTATAATAAACCTTATTAATTCGCTAAAAAAACACAAAAAAGAAAAAAAATAATTATTTATGCCTAAGAAACTTATTATGTATAACTAATTGAAAAGAAAAGAGACATTTTAAGCTAATAATGTAAATTGAAATATTGAATTAGTTATTTCTATGAAGATTCAAGTCAAGACTCAAGTACTGTCGTATAATTAATAAATTACAATAATCATTAAAAATTAGTATTATTCAATATCTGTGAAAATTATATTTTAATAATATTTATTAGATAAATAATTTGATTTCGATTGTGAACTATAAATAAATATATACATATAATTTAATATTTTAATTAATTGTTATACTTTTTGGATTAAATCATTTCCGAAATGGTTGATTCAATTATATTTAAAAATTTTATGAAGGAACCTGGCACCTGGAACTTACTTAAACTTAATATTACACACTTCCTATTTAACATTCTTGAACATGCCACTATACTATGGCGTATAATCAAAATAATAGTTTAGATTATTTGAGTTTAAAGTCGGAATTTTTTTTACGATGTTCATATTATATGTTTATACGTATTCATACTGTACCTAAAATTAAAAATTATAACATATACGACAAAATTCTAGATTAGGTAACGGTTTATATTTACTAGTTTGATATAATAAAAATTATAAGAAATTTAGTAAAAATGTCAGTAACGAAGCGTATTTGTAGCAATATAAAATGATAAAACGTGCTATTTGAATACGGGCACATATATAGGTTACCTATATTTTAAGTTTAAAAGTATCAAGTACAATTTAATATAACACCAGTAAAGAACATAATATAAACGTACGTTTTTGATCTATCTTTTATTTAAATGAAATGCAATGATTATAATATGCAGTTAAATGACGTGCACCAGTAAATTGTGTCAGTCTTGGTTTATTTAATAAAATATTACAATATTTTAAAAACTTGTAGTTTTAAAGAATACTGATAAGTTTGCTAAAATTTGGGGAAGTAAACAACAAAATCAAAGTTTCCCAAACTAATTTAATCAAACAAAACTGGTGACAGCAGTAACGGTAGGTTCTAATGATACTTTATAAATTCTATTCGTGTATGAAAAGTTTATTAGAAGAAAATTTAACAGTCATTTTAAAATATGTTCTAAAAAAAAAATAAATTTAAAATAAATAACTTACATATATGAATCACTAAATGCAAGAAGGGCACATGTCCACATTTTATAATTTTTCAGGAAAGACAAAAAAAGGTCACATGTCTAGGACATACGTCGTTTTTGCATTTAACACAAAATATCATGATCATTTTATAATATACCAGTAAACTGGACATGTGTCCCGTTTGCACAAAACGGTGTAATTGTGTAATTGTTGAATCTAAACAAGAATCTGTAAAAATGTAATTTTATGAAAATTATGGACATTTGCCCTTCTTGTATTTAGTGATTCATATAATATACGAGTATATACATAGATATACTTACTCTTCGTCAGGAATTTCGAAAACAAACATGTATGAAAACGAAAGCTACCTATTTATATGCAGAGTGGTTTGCAGAGAAAAACTACCACCAATCATATGGAAGGACAATTACAATCGCGAATAACGAATAAAAGAATTATAAATTACTTTTAAATATTTTCCCCTTTGCATTGGCTCCTTAATGACCATCAAATACAGCATTTACCTTGAACTCAAATAATATATAACAATAAATCATAGAATAAAAAATAATAAAAATGGCTACGCATTTTACGAATAAAACATAGTCATACATGTAATAAAAAATTACCTACGTGAAATAATTCTTGCAAATTTAGTGTGTATGATATGAATAGTATAATGGACATTGACAGGAATTCTCAATGTCTGTTTTTGATTATTCTATTTATTATAGTATTTTCTAAATAAACGGTTCAAACGCGAAACAACTCCAAACATACACTTTGTATTTTAAATTAAATTTATCACAAACAATCAGCTACAATTTTACAATGATCATTTTACTCACTTTTACGGCATTTATATTTTATTGCAGAATTTTTAAATGGATTATTTAATTTAAAAGGTTTCTTATTCAAAGAATAAAATACTTAAATTTTAAAAACCTAACAATATTATTGAATTTCAAAAACATTTTATATTCTTATTTTTATTTTATATTAATAACTATTATTTTATTTAATTCATTAATCACTTGTTTTACTTTATTAATTTATTATACCATCTGCATGTCACATTAATTGTCGGTACATCAAATATTATCTACATAAAAATGTACAATGTATAAGATAAAAGCTCAAATTTGAAGACAAATGACGTTTCACTTCAACCTATTCCGACGCAACAATTAAATATTTTTACTTTTGTCTTGCTCACTGTCTAATAGGTTTGGATAGGATTTATATGGTATATAATTAAAAACTGTGAAATTAGTATTTTATTTGTATTTCTTAATTGTATAGATTTAATATTTAGTAACTATAACCCTTATTCAACGTTGTCGTTCAATTAGACATACATGTCGTACTGATGTATTACAAATTATGTGACAGAAAATAATTTGTAAGCATTACGCTGATAAATGTTATATTAATAAAATTCACCAAAATAAATTACCTGGACTTAAAGTTTACTTGTTTTTATTTTTCAGACCTGATTCAATAAAGTATTTTCATTCGTAACAAATAATATTCAACTAAAATATCGAATTTAATACTATGTATATAAAATATAAATTGATATGTATATATATATATATATATATATATATATATATATACATACACACACACATACACAGACATATAAACACACGTTTGAATTGTATACTATGCTAACTGTTCATTTTTAGAATAAAAGAAATGTAAATAATAATTATAATAATTATTCTTATAATGTGAAAAAAATGTACAACTCAAATCATAAAGTATTTATAATTTTAATATTAAAAACAACAAGTTTGCTAAAAAATATGTCATGAACGTTAATACTTCGACACACCCGTGATGGGGTACGTGTACCCTTTTAATCGTATCGGTTTAGTAATGATGAATTTTGTCAAAACAATAAGAAAAAAAAAGTTGGGAGATAAATTGAAATCATACGACTATCGACTATAATATGATATCATATAATAAATAAAAATACCGATAATTGAAATTCAGTATTGTCTACAGAACAATCATATTTTCTACAGTCTGAAACTAACAATGGCTTATGCAAAAATAAATCGTAACGTATTTATATATATTTTCATACGCTAAGGATCCAATGACTTTTATTCTGACTGAATAATCCGAAAAACTGTCATTAATGAATGGATGGCAATATTTCAGTTATTATTAATTGTTGGTATCGCCTTGAACTCGATCAAATTTCAAGTATAAATCAAATCTTCTTGGATAAATAGTTTTATTAGACAATTGATTACATATATTAAAATTCTAAGAGTTTATTATAATACTTTATTCAGATAACTTTAAGTGCATTTTATATTGGAATTATAAAATTCGTAAACCAAGTAACAAGTACCGTAGAAATACTGCGTGAACATAATTAAATTAATATTTATTAACTGAGAACTACTCGCTATATAAGTTTGAGCATACGTTTAATTATGATATTCAAGTAATATTGCATTCAAATCTTGCGAAACACGTCCAAATTATAATGATATTTTGAAACAACGTGTGTACCTAATCATAAATGAGATAACAATTATTATAATTAATACGCGTAGATGACATAGGACGACGGAGATGACATGAATAACATGTACAAAATTTACCGCTCCGATTGCAGTCTACCTATATAAGATAAACAAGGCCGGCCCAAGCAAAAACAGAGCACTAGGCAAAATAAAATTTTGCCGCCTCAAAAAAAAAAAATAAAAAAATAAGACCTTATTTTAACTTAGCCCCTCCCCCAATTTTTTATGTGACATATCTACATAAAAAAAATTATACGTAGAAAGACTTAAAAATGATTTCTATAATTATTACTCAAAACCCATCACTATTGCGGCTATCGGAAATCGCGGAAGTGATTGTTTGGTTATTTATATTTTTGAAATAATTGAAAACGCTCAGCGTAGGCCGTAATATGAACTAATATAATAACTTTAGCCAATATTATTGTATTATATAGTTAAGTGGTTTTCACGAATGAATTAATTTAAATATTTTTCTTATAAAACACCGATAGAACTCAAAAAAAAAGTACGAGTCAATTTTGAAAATGTTACCCCTAGTAAAGTGCCTAGCTCGCCTATACCTTAAGCCGGCACTGAAAATAGATTCTGTATAGCAACAAAATATGACAAACAAATCGATACTGTACCGTAACAAAATATGACGAACAAATCGATACTATACCACTACCCTAACAAGGATTACGGGTAGTAGGTCGTAAAAAATTATTTCCTATTAGGTATTCAAAATAAAAATAAAAATATATTAAATGTATATTGACCATCTCACCTGGACATTATGGAACTGACGGTTGTCTGATAGTGTCGACGTCCGAGAACTAACGGAGTTCTTTTCTCATATAAATACTTATCGTGTAGTTATCGTTTTAGTTTGAAGGTCGTCCGTTGTTTCAAGACTGCACCCTAAAATAGGTCACAGGGTCGATTTATATCACCTTGCTATAAAGTTTTGTAGACACGCAGAATGTCTATGACAAAACGTGGAAATGGTAACGCAAAGTAATACGTACTCGAGAATAATTAATTTCACGGAAACATTGAACCGAAATTGTTCTCATGAAATACTATTTAAAGTTTGAACTCTGGAGTGATCGATGATTGGTTGAGTTCAAATACATTTTATACCTAAATTCTAAATTTTTCAACAACACTTGAACATAACTACGCAAAGTAGACATATGTATATTATAATTTCTAGCTAGACCATAATATTATTATTTGAAGTGTTAACCAGTTAATTAAGTTTAAGTTACAACTATCACATTGTAGTATTTTACCATCATAATAAATAAATGATGTACTGTTACGTTTTAAAGTTGTTGAGTATTATTTAATACTAGTCATTCTAAACAAAAAATTTATTTTATTTCAATTTATATTTAAATAATTTTTAAATTTTCAGAATGGTTCGTTACTATTCATTTAAATAAAATTTAAAATTTAATTAAAATTTAAACAATCAAATAATATTTCAAAATTTTTTTATCTACGTTTATTTAATAACTAAATCAATAAATTTAGTTAATGTAGAAGGATCACATTACCATTAAAATAGAGGATTGAATTCGGTTAAAATATATCAATATTTAATGATTATTAATAAAAATATTAAAATTCTAATGACATAATTTCTAAAATTAGTACCATTGAACAAAATAACCGTTAATTTTAAGCAGAGTGATAATTATTAAAAATAGTGTACTCATCGTTCGGTCCATGCATTATTCCTGGGTAACATTTATTTTCATTACGCCACAAGTATGTTGGTTCTTCTGCGAGTATATATGATTTAGCGGTTGCATCCATTATACTGTTATTAATTATATTTCTCAATTAAGTTGTCAATAAGTTATAGTGATACTATTGATATTAATCAAATTTATCACTATTAGTCTAGTTATCAGAATTCCTGAAATTTCGAACGTTATAATAAAAAATAAAAGCAAGCAAAAGAAACACTATAATTTAAAATTAACGCGTTTTCTCGTACAAAATTGAATTATTCAAATTTGACTTGAACACAATTGTGTAGAGTTTAAAAGCGTTTTAATTTCATTTAAGAATCTAATAAACTATTACTCGGACTTTTTAAATAGAATATCATACAATTTTAGTATCACAAAATGTGAAATAAATATATTATATCCTAAAGAGTGATCAACCAACTTAAACCTTAAATCCAATCAAAATGATCCAAAATTATGTAACCACTTTAATAAAAAACATATCTAATCATAAAAATTTACTTACGGAATAGTGAATGCTGACTAAAATTGAAGTTATGGATTTACTTTTCTTTGTAAAACCCAAGCATTATTTACACTTACATCTATTAACGAAGTAAAGATTGACTACCACCATTTTTTCCACGTATACTGATTCTGTAGTTTTGGTCCATCGAGTACGTTCCACCCATATATTTGTTGTACTCTCCAATCATATGTGGTCTAGGAACTGATATTTTCTTTTTTTTTTTTTTGAGAATATCTTTGCACGTAGCTTATAGGGTTCACACCAATACTAGAAGAAGCTGCAGTTACAACCAAATTATCCATCCACCGTGCATAAATTATATCGTCATTTTCTTCAATAATACTTGCACATTCACCTCTTTGTTTTTTTAAGAATAACTTTTATCCTATTAAAGGGAAATCTTTACCAAGTCGATTATCTCTAATAGTCCCAGTTCCAGAATAACCTCTCAAAAAACTTAATAGATTAGAACTGGTAAATAAGTTATCACAAAATACACGGAAAGGTAATTTTCTTTTTTCTAGAGGTAAGTTTTCTAAAAAATATATTAGGGGTGCCGTACATTTTCCAAAAATATTTTCATAATTCGGTTTCCCATTTGGTAATTTTCCCTGATAAATATCAAAATTTATGAGATAGCTGTCAGCCGAATTGAGACACCACATTTTATAACCAAAGCGAATTGGCTTACCTCGAATAAATTGTTTACAGCTGTGTCGACCGAAATATTTGATCATCAACTCATTATAATTTATATTTTGAATGGGTATAAAATTTTCAATACAACGAGATTTAATTTTTTCCATAATATTTCTCAATTTTCAGGCTTTATCCTTTGTATTCAGATTATTATTATCTGAACAGTGTATAAATTTCATAATTTTAAAAACCGATCTCTACGCATCGAATTAAAAACTAAAAAATTCTGTACGTCCTGATCTTGCTCCCAATAATGACGTTTTGATGGTACTTGATTATATCAGCTTAATAGTAGAATGCCAATAAAACATCTAATCTCATCACAAGTAATATTTTGATCAATACAATTTTTACAATTTTTAAATAAAGTATAATTTCTAGTTTCGTCATCTAATTAATTAAAAATTTCATCTGTAAAAAAACAATTCAAATAATTCTATGGATGTCATATTGCATAAATGGTTTGGAATTGGAAAATTTTGTACTCTATCATCAAAATCGCCAGTAATCCATTCCGGTGGTTTTTGTCAGTTTCTTACCCTTTTTTCGTTCTGTATGATAAACTTATCTGTTGATACAGAAGGACTTTGGTCAATTACTTTAGTTGGTGGTGGAGGATTGCCCAATGTATTAAAATCCCCGATTCTTTCATTATTTTCTAGTCATATTTCAGCAGGTGCTAATAATTGTCGACCAGTCAAATTATCCATTGCTCCAGTTCCATCTTCGTCACCTGAATCCTCGTCAGTTAAAATATTTACTTCAGGGGGTTCAATGTATATTTCTTGAACCCGTGCCTGATACTCGTCATCAGCTTCAAATAAAATATCCAGAGCTTCTTGAAGAGTAAACCCATTACTATAAAAATTAAAATTATAGTTATAGGAATAATTGTTACCGTAATTGAAGAAAAATAAAATGTGTACTTTGAATAATGATACAAAAACCTAGCGTTACCATGTGGTAACACTCTGAAAAACCATTATGTGCATAAATAAGTAAAATATCTATGTGTGTAAAATTGATACTTATCTATGTCCAAATATTCTAGGAAAATATATTCACAGGTTTAAAGCAAAAAAGTGTATCGAATAAATAATACAAGAACTTACCTTCCACAAAAATCCATGGTTATGAGGACGAAAAAAAACAAACAGCTATTTCAACGTATAACACACTACTTACTGATTTTGTAAAATTTTGATGAATCATATCTTATTCTGTTATATATATATAGAGTGTATAAACATTGATAAAGTTGATATAACACTAATACTTGGGGAACTACAGCTATTTAAAGAAATTATTTTTTGCGTTACCATATGGGTGCGCTAGGACATAATGGGATAATTTCTAATTCAAAAATAAAAACTCTAATAGAATATCCACATAGGTTTGAAATAAATAATTGTTTTCATAAGAATGTTGAATGAAAAACATTTTTTAAGATCTTTTTGATTAATGAATGACCATATAACCATTGAATAAACCTTTTTTTCACTTCACCTTATATAAGTCATTGTATCAAAATTATAAGAAAACCCATAAAGATCCGTTATCAAATTTGCAATGTATGATAGTTTTTGACGTTAAATTTGTTAGTTCACATTTTAATTTATGGACAAATGCGGAAATTTATAATTTATGGTATCTTCAGCGTGCCGTCAGAAAAGTAAAATATTTTGAACTGCATATTATCAACTCAAGATGAGTGTGCAGAATCATACAATTACTGCTATCGGTAAAACGTACACAATTTTTTTTATTTTTTATTATTATTGCTTTATCCAAAGGTTTTTACGGCTTAACAATTTTTTTTATGAAAATACATTTATTAAAAATTAGTTATATTGCAAGACAATAGGTATAGAAAATAGGACTTATTGTCTATATAAATATATATGTCTATATAAATTGGTATTTAAATGATATAATCAATATATATAGTTACAATAATATAAATGCGAAAATCTACATTGAGGATGAAAATAATTATAAGTGAAATGACGGGAGGAGAATGGAAATTGAAAAGAAAGATTACATCAGGGTAGGAGTAGCTAAGAGAAGAGAAAGATATGAGAAAATAATGTGATATAAGTCACAAATGACTTCATAGGTGTGGAGAGTGCAAAAGGAAGAAGAATTAAATTAAAGGAGGAATTATTGATGAGGAAGAAAATTATGACCAAAGCAGAGTCGAGAAAAGAAGACGATTATGAATCGGGGAAGGTCCAAATATCGAAACTAGTGGCGTACATACGGAGAAGGGATCCGGATTCAAAATCCCCCCCAGGGCCAAAAAAAAAAGTTGTTTTATTATTGATGACGTGTATATTATGACGTATATATTCGTAGTTTCATTATTACGCTTTGAACTTAAAATATTCAACTATACAAATATTATGATAATTAAATAATTATATTGATAGGTGTTTGAAAAGTTTTGTTAACTATGCTGTTTTTATATTCCAATAGCTATTAATTTACTATAATGTAAAAGTAAACTGTAAATTGGTAAAAAAGTTGTATAAAATAATATATATTTATACCAGTTATTTATCTTATTTATCTGTGCAACGAAAAAAAAAAGATAACGATTATTTTTGTTAAACCCTCCCCAGAGCAAGATTGAATGTACACCACTGATCGGAACCAAGAGGTATTTAGGGTAGATGAAGAGATAAATCGTACACAAAGTTATTCACAGAATAAGGTAATGAAAGGCTTGTCACTTTAGTTTTGTTTCACCTCATCGCCCTTAGATTGTTCAATGTATTACTGTTTATAATGAAAACCCTTATCGTCTTATTTCGTCTCTACATTAATTTAAAATAAATGCTTTCACCACGTAGACTAATAATTGATCGATTATAATAGTGTACTGACCGACAACAAATAGCACTTGTGTTAGTGACGATCACCTAAATCATTAGTTTTTCATTTTCATGCGTACAAAAAATATTTATCAAATCAAAAATCTGAACTTTATGCACGGACTAAACAATATGCGGTCTGGACCAACTAGGTCAAGGCCCAGCCTAATGATCGATTCATAATGTACACAAAATTACATTGAAACTATATTGTAGAGGTGTACATCTATGATTTGTCGTTTGTGGTATTTAAATATGAATTAAGATTAACATATTACTATTTTATACTAAGTTCGATAATTTGAATACGTCTTACTACCATATAGATCAATGAGCGACTGTTGTTCAATTTCGATTGTACATGGTCTCTTACACTATTTATAGAATTTATCGGTAACACGTTTAAGCAAAAGCACAATGATCTGATACAAAATGCAGTCTTTTGTTTGGTTCCACATCACAAATCTGAAACATTATATCGGTATGTCGATTTATCAATTTGAGAAATAAACATAATTAAATAATTATTAATATTTAATAAAAAAATGAGTGAGCCATCGATTACTCTGATACTAAAGAAAACGAGTTACTTTTGATGATGTATTATAATTGTTTTGTAGATTCATACAGTGGGGTCGAACCCTATATGCAGGTAGGACAGATGTCCTATCTCATAATATTTCAGTGGTGAGTGAGTTAGTCCAGTCACCAACGATTGAGTCAGTGAATTGTGTTAGTTACTATAAATTATAAACAAATACGGTGGTAATCAACTTGGTAGTATACACTACCAGATAAAATAGTTCACGTGTCTTATTTATTTAATCATATTGTTCATATAATGCAAATATTAGGCTCTAAATCCAATAGATTCAGTAATTGATCGGTGGTCAGATCTCATCTCGTTTTATGAGTAGATTCCCAATCTGAATTCTTTGATTTCGGACCCTCTGGATTCATATATACTGGATTTTATTGTATTATTACTAATAAAAAAAAACTTCCTCTTTTGATTACAGTTTTTGGAAAATATTTTAAAAATTAAATTTAACCAAGAAGACATGAATTATTATTTATAATTTTATTTTTACTTAATTATTAAACTCTCGTTAAAATATAAAAATATTACAATAATATTAATTATGATACTGTTAAAATACACATATCGGATATTAATAATTACCTAAAGGCTTTTTTGTGTAAAATGAAAAAAGTTCTTTTCCTACCCGGTTATATTTGAAAAAGTGTTGTTTTTTATACACTTTTTAAAAAAGTGCCAACAGTAAATAGGCTATTATTAAACGTTGACATTTATTTATTATAGAAATTTCAATTACGCGGTAGTTACGGTGGCGATTTTTTCTTTGGGAGTGGTCATGACCGCTGGTGACCTGATTCGAACCGACTATCGTACGTTTAGACGTAACCACTTTGTCCCACTCGGCCATGAAAGATGGCCCCCGAAATATTTCCTCCCGACAATTGCCTCCATACTGCCCACCACTATCTTTGAAATACCATTTGATCTTCTTGTGGACTAAACTTTCGATCTCGAGTAACTTGAACGTCTAGACCAGGATGAATTAACATTTGCGTCAAACACGAATACAGAGCGAAGTCATGTTAATTATTTCAGAGCTTTAATGTGCGTATTTTGCGTATGGAGAAGTGAAATAGAATCAAACTTTAAGAGTCGCTAACCCACGCGCGCTAATTAAAAATGTTATGAGAAAAATGATGAAAATATTAATCATTTAATATCTCAAGAGAATCGCTTCCAGGCGGTGATGAAACGTACAATGAGGCTGGGTTAAAAAATATATTATGTCGAAATCGATTATTTATGGTCCAGGTATATAATTTAAACTGCAGAAGCGATCTGAAACAAAAAAACTTATTTCCCAGAAATCTATGTACACCGTTCAAATGCAATACTATATGTGTTGTTAAGTAAATATTTAATTGTGTTTGTGTTTGCACGTCAAAAAAATCGTCATCAGCGAGTCACAAATATTCGCTTCATAACATGGGATGGGTAATTGACGGGCCTCGCGTACCTATCATTTTGAAATCAAACACTAAAAAAGGATTTAAAAAAAATAAAAAAAAAAGGATTTACAAATAATAATAATTACTCGAAAAAACGCATATTTATAGTAGACCACAATGTTAACATCGTTTTCATAACAGGTTGGTATTGAATCTCATCTGCAGCTGTCGAACTCATTCATACTTTAATCGATAGGCAATATTTAAATACGACAGATCGCCACGCAGTCGCGTCGCATACCTGCGTTGTGTAGTGTATGGTAGTAGTCAAAGTTTTTAGTTATTTCTAGTTACTTTTCAAAGTCTCCCTCCCCCCCCCCCATTCTTATCTTGACTAGTATAATGTATTATTTATCAGCCAGAAGAGAATATAACAATAACAATACGACGCGCAGCCACACATTTTATTCGCCTCATTTCCGTTAGAAATCCACGCGCGTTAGTTTCAGGGAGAAATACGCCACGCGACGACCTCGAGCAAATACATCAACACCGTACGGTTTCCGACATGATGAATTGCCGAACAGCGTTCAAAACGCGTATTATACAATGTACCACCGGGGTCCCGTACTCGTTACGTCCAAAAACCGATTTTGAATACGAACCGAACAATTATACCGGGTAACACGGAGACCAGTAATAATGTTGATATTATATCGATAATAACAGCGCGCTGCGATAATAATAATAATAATAATAATTAAATGTCGGTAATTGATCAATATATATATATTGTTCGAGTGTGCGAAAACAATTAATAATATTTATACGTGTATATATATATATATATATTGTATCGATTCGCGTCCTCTCGTGCGCGACGCCGTACACAACTGTTACGCGATCGTATTTTATTGCAGCAAATACTATTACGACCGGAGTATTGTTACGCAGCTGCGACGGCCGTATTGTCCTGTACACACGAGCAACGAGACGAATAAATTTGTTCTCTTTAGGGCGCGCGATCGCACAACGGTTATCCCGGTGATGATGATCAGTGGCGTACGAACAATTTTCTTATGAAGATGGGGGAGGGTTAAATTACACACACAGTTTGATACCAAACGTATTTTCTTACTCCTCCTCGGACGAAAAATTTCTGTTCTCACGATTCCATTCGTCGTAATTGACGAACACTACATTTTCTACACGCGTAGAATTATGTATAACTAACACGTAGTATTCATGAATATTTTTCAATCCGACCATTAATTCTGCTCGTGTTAAATTAAATAATAGTGTTTTCATAGACGTGCCCATTTCGTGATGGGAGACGCGTTTGAAAATCGCTTACTTTTTTTTATGGTCACGCGCAAGCGGAAGGTCAGTCGAAACGCTGTCAAAACGCGCCCTAGTTGTACGGTGTGTATAAATATATTGCGCGTGGACGAAGAAGCTTGTGTACTTAGGCGCACGCGTTATTCCAGCAGGTAATACGCTTACCCTAATTTAAGGTTATCGATTTCACCGTACGTCCGGATTAAAAATCCATTTAAATGTTCAAATAACTTTCCCGGCGATCAATCGTTTTCCTTTTTTAAAATACAACGACGATTACGATAATTGTTATTTTACTGATTTTGTTATCCCGCGAAGACACCGAACTCCGATTATCTTTTATATCTGATGAGACCGTTTGATAGTACAATACATTTTATCAACCCGTTATATTCTATTGAATTCGATTGTACTTAAGCCATAATCCGTCTAAAAACCTTTGTAGAAATTTGAAAGAAAGAAATTTATATAAAACAAAGTTGTACTGAAGTATGATTTTTAAAAAATAAAATCCTTTAGATTAATAATTCAATACACGTCTTATCGTAAATACTTCTCATTATTATTGTGTACAAATTTTCATTATATACAAGTACATAATATATGAAATAGGACAAATGTCTAAAGAAATAATATTTTTTCCATGATTTTCTGACTAACATTGGACCGTTTTTCAATGAAACCAAAATGCATGTAAAATACGTTAAGCTAGTAGTATAAATAAAAATATTATTCGGAACAAACATTCGATCATTGATTAAGTACAGCTCGTCACAAACGTGATTAATAAAGCGTTGGCAGAAAAATATATGGCTGGGGAGTATTTTTAGATGTAGCTCGAGCATTTAATGAAACTTGATATAAAGGTCTAATCATAAAATTTCGAGAACTGCCACATATCTAATGTTAACTCCTAAAATCTTATCTAATTTTTTTTTTTTTATTTTTTTATCACTTTAAGGGTTTTAATAATTAAATTGGCCTCTTTAGATTTACTTTTCATTAATTTAATTAGTATTAATGATATATTATGAACGTTTGTAAAATGGGGGATCGTTATAAACATTTCATTACTACATACTTGAGTATACTTACTCGTACACTTACTAGTGATGCAAATGAAATCCGGATTCTTCGAAAATCTGCCAAATCCGGATTTCGGATTTCGGATTTTTGAATTTAAAAATCCAAGATTTGGGTTTATTATTAATAATATCTGTATTCTAATCATATACTTTTATTTACACCATTTTGTAGTCGTTATTTTAATCCTTGGACAAGATGATGGTGGTCTAAATAAGATATCTTAATAATTGGTAAACACTTTAAGTCTTACGTACCATTATTTTTGGAGATACAACTAATAATAACTAAAATGTATTTTATAATATCCGACTTCTATATATTTAATATTACACAAAAACTTGTATATGAGATTCTTAATTAGGTTAGATCAAAATATCGGATTCACGATCATTGAGCGCACTACAATAGGGCGAAAACTATTGAGCGCACGAAACTTGAGCGCTGCGAAAATTAAGCTCTAAGACAATTGAGCGCGATATAAACCTAAAAAAGTTAGTTAATAATTTAAAAAAAAAAAAATGATAAGTCATAGTTAATAATACATCATATTTTAATAATACTGCAAATAAATACATCATGAGTCAAGTTAAAATATTAAATATTTTGAGCAATGACTTTTAAAAACTGTTCTGTTGATCTTGAATGAAATTTTTCACAAATATTTTTTATTCTTAATCCTGAATCTTTGTATTTTTTTTTTGGTTTTGGTTTTGGATCATTACCTGCAATAAACTGATGAATTCTCACTCGATTCAACTTTTCCTCTTTTTTTAAAGCGTCGATAAATTTCCAAATTGAAGGATGAACTGCATTTAAAATTGATTTAAATGAATTATGCTATCCTTCAATGGCATTATTGGTCCTTGGTATGTCATTTTTAATCAAACCATAACAGTTCCATAATTTTATCGAAAACTTTGGGGATCTTCGTTGTCTGTTACGACTAATACGACCTATCCATGTGTCTTCAAAATAGTCTAAGAGAGGTGTCAATATTGTTTCATGTTCTTTATAAAAATCAGTTTGTAATAGGTCTTCGAATGCAGTAATAACAGACTCTGGTGGAACATATGCTAATGCATTTAACATTTTAATATTTAATGCAAAATCGGAATTTTCATGGTATTTTACGGCAAATCCTGTGTTTTGAATATGTCTCCATATAGATTGACAAAAGTGGAAAAAACATCCATTTATTTCCGTTTGAGGAAATACTTTTTTCACTGTATTTATTGCAGCTTGTTCCTAATCTAGCATTATAGAAATTGGATTTAATTTTGGTCTTAACTCTAGGATTTTTTTAAATAAACGTAAGTATATTTATTCAGTTTTATTTGGAAGGAGTACAAAAACGGATGGTAAAACATTACTAAATTGTACACCGTGAATTGTATATAGGTGGTAAAAAATAGTAGGTGACGATAAAAAAATACCATCAATATACAAATGTTCACAATCAACCATCATATCAAGATTTTCCGTAGTTGAAAAAATTAATATGCGTGGAATTTCTTGATTTTGTGAATAACTATCATATAATAAAAATGGTTTACCAACTAATGTTGTTGTAAACTCGGGTGGAATGATTAACTCCTTCAATGAATCAACTGCTGGTAATTGACTAGCAACTGCTTCAGTAACCTAAAATAATTGAAAAAATAAAATATTTTTATATTTATATTATGTATATGTAGATACGTATTAACTATAAAGTAAAGGTCCCCACACATTGCGGCGGTGGCGATTTTTATCCAGTATAAACATAATATATTTATATATTACCATTGATTATAAATATTTAAAATCAATGATATTAAATACAATAATTGTATAGTTAATTAATTAATTCCTATGTCATTGATAAATTGACGATTTATCTATATAGTACGTTAGTAGGTACTATATTAAGTACTTATACCATTGTACATATCATATTCATTATATATATAAATATAAATAATATTGTATTGATTATTTTTATATGAATTGTTTTTAATTAAATTAAATAGTATGTTAAACTATAACTTGAATATTTTCTAGAAAATAATCGAAGTCTAGACTAATATACACCATATATATTAGATAGTATTGGTACTAATAGCGTATATTCGATAAGTCAATTGAAAATACCGCTCAGCGGTGGCGGTGAAATCGAGCATGTTTTTAAAATATTGCAGCAGCTTGTCATGTTTAAGACGTCTTATTTTAGAATGGATATTTTACTTGTACCTTTGAGCACTACTTTATTTCTTAAATTTTGGAAAGAATGAATTGGTTCGGATTTTGATTCGTCAATAGTAAGTATTTTAAAGTCAACGTGCAGAATATTGTTTCAAATAAACCCTAAGACATTTAATATTTTGAATTGGAACGCTTAAATTTTGTTAACGTGCGTTTTTGCATAATTACCTCATAATGGTTCAGCATATAATAAGAGTGGACAAAAAATATGTTTATATACAGCAAATTGACATTATACATTATGTTCATTATACTCGCTAGTTGTAAGACATTCCTCTCTAGACCTGACAAACAAGTGTCTTTTAGCTAACATCAAATCTATTTGGACCTACGGCCTACAGCTGTATAGTTGAGTCAACAAATCCAATGTCCAATTAATTTTGAATTTTGGAAAAACGTTGCCAAAATATTGTTTTACAAACTACTTCCACACCATACTGGTTCGACAAGAATAACATTATCCACCATGATCTCAATATGTCATCTATCCTGGACAAAATTAAGGAGTCTGCTAATAAACATGTGAATACACTACAATTATACACCAACACAGTTTCTAACCATCTTCTGGATAACTCACAAGATGTCAAGTACCTTAAACGCTTGATCTTATGACTTATTTCAAATAATTTAGACTACAAAAAGGAGCAATATCATTGGAGAAACTACACCAAACCCGTTTAAGCATACAATGTATATTATATTTATTCCTCACGCATTATGTATACTGTCTTACGCTCGTTTCGTTGTATTTATTAGGACTAAGGTTTAAATAAAGACGCTTAAACCAGTTTAAATAAAAATTCTGTTCAAGTATTAGTTTCCCACATTAACAAATTTAATACTTCAATTTTAATAGCTAAGCTATTGCTAAATTTATATTAACATAGTATTTGAAATTCAACTAACTTAAGTCTAGACTAGAGAACTTTAACTATCCATTTTCATAAAATAGATACAATAAACTAAAGCTTTACAACCACATTACCATTAATTATTTTTACGGTCATGTTCAACGCAAATGAGCTCCCTCACCTTTCTGGATTCTGCATATTTTTCACATACGCGATACGAATCGATTTACCATAGTGCATGATGTACTTATAGAACATTAACATTTATGCTTTTCATTTGACGGGATCAAAATGTGTTTCCCACAATCACACGCGTGTATATTTAATGAATTTGAAAAAAAAAACGTTATCATTTCAATACCTTGTGAACTTCAGGATGGTAAAATAATTTGCCGATTACCATCCGCAACAGTCGATCACAGTAAAACAGTCGCTAATAGTGTAACATCAAACGAACAAATACATATAACTCGATAATAATCAACAGGATGTTAATAAAATTAAATAAAATTTTAATAAAATACTACGTACTATTCCCAGGAATTGAACGTCACTTACAAGTTGTAGAAAAATCGGTTCGCACGGTTTTCAAAATTTAACGACGGTATCATGGCAGACCCAGGTATGTTAGTTAGACAATCGTCTTTAGTTATAGTATCGTCTACGTTTGTGTTTTCATAATTTTACGACTTTTACAGTGACCCTTTACTCCAGGCCTCCAGAAGTGTTGGCAAAACTTATGACTTCCCGGTATAAGTCGCTGAGTACTGTGATAGACCCGTTTTGCGGTTCCGGTATGATCGCGATCCAACTGGCCATGGTCTGCCACAAAGATATACTGCTGATAACATGAAAATACAATTATTTTCATATTATTTAACACGTTAATTGTGTATTATATCGTAATGTATACTAACATTAGACTCGTAATGGTTCGCGTTTTTTGTACAGTCTTTGCGATGGACAGTGACCCGATCAAAATCGCATTTTCCCGGAACAACTCTCATTTCTACGGGGTTGAAAACCGAATCGTCTTCTTTTTGCGTGACTTTTTTGCCGTTGCCCATTCGCTGCAGTGGGCAGACGGCATCGTTATACCATCACCAGTGAACATGACAAAAGAAAAAATGATGATGTTAACCAAATTGACAAGTAGGGTGGTGCCGAAAGTCCTAATGAGGTTAACGAAGGACCATGAATTGTCAGATGTAAGTCCACAAGTCGTGTTATGAGAGCATTAATACCCATTTAATGTTTTTATTTTTTTTTTTTTTTTTTACAGCTGTACCAAGTAGGAAGTACAATATTTAATAAAATTAATACGGGAAAAATATGTATTGACAGGAAGCCATATTTAATTTTGGCTTTTCTAGGTCCCGAATTACTTATTTTTTGATATCATTAAACGTTTACAATAATTAAATATAATTATAATCATCCATCCATTATCCAATTCACACTTGCAAGTTTATTTTATATTTTTATAATGTGTTATAGATGAATACGAATAATTATAACAATGACAGAAACGTAAATAGGATACAAAAGAAAGTGCTTTTGTTTCCTGATGGTAAGTTATAAAAAGTGTATGATGTATATAAATAAAATAGTGTTTTTTGGAAGATCTTGATACCAATGATAACATTATTTTTAATTTCCATAGGGGTATCTATTAATCGTTGTGTGCATTGGATAAGAGGTAATAATCTTTTTGCATACGACGATTACCTCAAAAACGTTGAAGAATTCCTGAAGAGCCAAAATCTCAGCTGACAGACGATTCCTCAACACAATCGAAAGAATATAATACAATTGATACCTGATAGTAAATACTATTTATAAATTATAATCAATTATAAATTGTATAGATAAGGAAATATTTCAGATAAGGAACATTTTGAATTTTCATGAATCATTTATAAGAATTAATACATTATAAGCAGTCTTAAATTCATGAAAAAAACGTTCTAAAGATATAAAAATATTATATTAAATAGATAATCGTTTAACATTTTTATATTTCTACGTGAAATATACAATGAACATTTTTGTAAGAGCATCGTTCGGTAGTTTTATATGTATCCGGTATGAGACCAAGCTTGTAATCAAAATAATGACTTAAAATAATTTACTAAAAAATAGAAATATTATTTAGGAAAATTGTATAAATATATTATGTAGGTGTAATAATAGAAAACTATTTTTAAAAAAAATAACGGATACCTCCAAGTACTTCATTTTGTGTCTTATTTTATTTAGCTCTGAGTTCTAAAGGGATAAATCTATCAACCCCTCTGTCCCTTAAAATAGAACAGTTTCAGTAAGTGAAGTATGAATATTTTTAGGATTATTCTGTTTTAATGTTACCAATTACTCGTTTATTGAATATAAATATTCAATTTTCAACAAACACTCTTACCGAACAAAAATTAGATACCACAATGAGAAATCAATAACATCATTATTGTTAAATTCAACTAATAAATAAATAACATTTTATTTCAGATACGAATATCATATAATATATTTTGAATTAGAATTTTGTATTTATTCTACATCCATTGAGAAATTAGAAACATTGTTAGGCTGATAACGGATGTGTTAAAAAAGATCTACAAGTTAACTGTTTGTATAAAATATTACAAATTACTCGTTCGAAATTATCAAAAGTAACATTTTAAATATTATTGATGAAACATTTTAATAGTTGTCCTAATAACATGATTTATTATTTTTAGTCGTAATTAGTATTTCTATTCTAATAAAGCATGGCCAAAGCTTTTGCACATCTATTACTACTAGAACGTGGTTCGCTTAGAAAAATGTATGTCAATAACGTTAAGACCATTAAAATACACGATATGACATGTACTTCGACAAATGGATTCATGAAGTTAACTATATAATATTATTCTAAACTGAGTTTCAAATATTGCACAGACTTTTATCGATTATTCAAAACCAATGTGAGTTAATTTGAGGTATAAAACGATTAAACAACTGAAATCGATAAAACTGAACCATTGGTTTAAATATTAATATTATTTTAGTAGTATTGATGTTTGTGAATTCGTTGAACAGTAAATTAGAGTAGTGATTTTAATATCTTTGGAAAATCGGAGTTTGCAACAACAACAGATTGAATTAGGATGAATTAATTTTATAGGTTTTAGTTTCAGATCCAGAACAGTCGATTACGAAGGTATCTCGTTTTAAATATAGAAAAATTTCACTTACCATTCAACTAATGATTGAATTCATTAAAAGTAACTGTTATGATTTACTATATGATTTCATAGAAGAAACGGATTTGATGCAGCAATGTAATTAACAATCATATACATATAGTGGCTAACCAGGATTCATTTAATGAGGATGTTTTAAAATTTAATAGACTTATGATAAGTGGGGAGGCTCTGTATTACATTAATAAATACCATGTATTTATAAAAATTATTATATTAATGAAAATGATTATATAAAGACAGTATATGTAAAAAAATATACAAGTTTTATACAATGTTTATTCAAATTATACTGTAAGTAAGTTTGAAATTTGGTGAAACACCATAAAATACGGTCAATGGGGGGGGGGGGGGGGGTTCTAACACCCATATCACCCCTAAATATGCCCCTGTATACATATAATGTATATTCTTATCTTATACGGAGGATGTTGATCGATATCACATTTGATCAAAATATATTGACTTATAATTTCAAACTATTTTACTGCGAGAGGATTATAAATATTATTTCATTTTATCATGTAAAACTAATTAATAAGATAATTAATAATTAAATAATTAATTCAGAAGTAGTAAACAAATTTTTTTTCTCCAATTTTGTTTCCCATTTTAAATTCCAACATACAATAATTATAATTTAATCTTAATATTTACAGGATATTATTCAACAGTTATCCCCTATTATACTATGTCTATTGAAAATGATTAAACTAATTTTGTTTTAGCGTTAACTCGTGCAGTATTATTTAAAAATATTCAAATCAGACCAAAAGCTTCTTTTGAAAGCAAACTAATTGTCAAAGATAATTGTGTTTTCAGGGTAAATATTAATATTTTTGAATTCTTATTATAATATAAAACTTATCTGTTTTAATATTTTATAGATTCGATTAAATACATCATGATGGAGAAGTTAACGCCAGCTCACCGAACATGAAATACATAATCAACGATATTGAAGAAGACATAAAATATTATATAAATGTTTAATTTCTTAAACTTCTTTTCTATATTTATTTCATTGCTTTAATAAAAATTCACATTTTGTTTACATAATATTTATTTTATTTCTTCTTGCAATATATAATACTATTATATAATTATATATAAGTATTTCTATTTATTGGTTTCTTATTTATATTATCTATAAAGTGCATAATTAATAATGTAGATAACATATTTAAGATTAAGAAAAATTGATGTGATGATGAATTTACAAAACTATAAAATATAATAACTAAAATGGATATAACTTTTTTTTTCACGTGGAAAAAAATTCATATAATATTCAAGACAATGTAATACTGAATAAGTTCCTATATCTTTTTTTCCATTGAATATAAATATTTACCTAATTCAGGTCCACCTAATTTAGGTTTAGAGATGAAGGACGAACTTCCACCACCATTATTAAAATAATAAATTTATGTATTTTTACAATAAAAACTCTGTTTTTCTATACATAATGAGTATTGAGTACTCAAATGTAAATTAATATGAACAAATTTGGGGGTGCTAATTTCGAAAATGGGGATACTAAGCACACCCAAGCTCCCTCTTAATTGCGCCTATGATGTGTTCATACGCCACGCTGTGATAATACGTGTTATATGATACTGTGCACGTTATATACAACGCAAGGGATACCATACACAATAAAATGTGTAAAATTTATGCTTTTCGAACATTTTGATCTTTGAAGTCCGTAGAAAAAACATCATACATAGATTTCTGAGCATGTATATTTTCAATCAAATTTTCTTCGTTGTACGAATTTTGTTGGAAGAATAACATATAAAATAAACAAGTAAAATATATAAATATATAATAATATTATATAATTATATAATTAATTAATGTAAATATATTTTAATGTACTTTAATAAGTGGGGATGATAAATGACAAATTATGTAATTAACTTTGTTATTCATCACACGTCACACGTTTTTCAAATTGTTTTGAAATGCGTGGCGTGGAATTGAGTAGGAATGTGTTCCGTTTTATAAATATGATCAAAACTGATTGATATTTAGAAATTAATGGGTTAACACGCGATTTAAAATTTACGACGTGTTAACGCATGGCGAATAAAGGGGTGTGAATAGTGTGTCTTTTTACTTTTATATAACATATAATAACAATTATATTTTCTACCTATATATATATATATATATATATATAATTCGTAGTGCTAAGAAAAACACAAAAACAATAAACTAAATGCCCGGAAGGGCTAATACGCACCCGCGTAATAACTCACATTCAAATAACCACGACAACAGCATGTCACCAACCAACACATTCAAAATAACATGCCAAACACCCAGAAACCATCAAGTTCCACAAACAACAATAATTGTATCAACCCAGCAACAAAATCTAAAAGTTTCGCAGAAACTACAGCTATTGTTAATTTTCTAAATATAAACCAAGCAATCATACTTCGCATTATCGAAGGCATCAAGCAAATCGATTACGTCATCGCTAACAGCAAATTAATCAGACCTTCTAATATAATATCAACGTCCAACTATTATATTTATATTATTATATTTATGCTAAATTAAATAATATCAGGGATAGCGTGTCAAATTGTAACTCTATCCTCAACTACATCACTTAAAATACCTAAATCAAATACACCTCTTTCAAAGAACATTAAAGGTAACCAACAAATTAAAAAACCTAAAATTAGGTCACGTTCTACCTCATAAACTCGAAAAGATACAATTATCGACGAAACAATAAACCTAACGCGTGAAACTCTTTCTAAAAATTACGTAAGGTACACTAACTACAAAACTTTTAAATACATTATAGAAAATGCATTAGGGAAAAATAATAGTATTAGAGAACTATGTAAACAAGCTGATATCACTGCAAAAATTATATCTGATACTATAAATATAGTATACTGTTTATTAAAAGACAAGAAAACCAAATCAAGACCCACAAGAATATCAAATTTATTATTCCAAATAATCAACCTCGAAGAAGAGAACAAAAACTTTTCATAAAAAACACTTCATACCCACTTTAACAACCTTTAACAATAACACCATAAAAAACTTATTTAACATAATAATGACCGTTAATATAATTCAATGGAATATAAATAATTTAATAAAAAAGAAAAATGACCCGCAAAACATCGTAAATAAATACAACCCCATAGCAATATGTCTACAGGAAACTAACATAATAGATTATAGTTACACTCCTCAGTTTAAAAATTTAAATTCTTTTTTTATAACCATAAACAATATGCATGAGTAAGCGGAGGAGTAGCCACACTCATTAGCACCAACTACCCATACAAATAAAGTCATATACAATTCAACTTAAAAGCAATTTTCATTTCAATCAAAATTGATACCAAAATCAATATATGCAATATTTATCTTTCAAACCAAACCAACTTAAATCATACAAATATAATTAACATAATTAATCAACTACCCAAACCCTATATTATAATTGAGAAATTTAACAGTCCCAGTCCAAATTGGAGTTCAGATAAAATATACTATAGAGGAAAACCAATA